TTTATGTTCCATTGAAACAGATTTTAAAACCTTGCCGACAGCATACTTTTTTGAAAATCTAGTCATTAATCAAATTACAGTAGAGCCTTAAAACTTAAATAAAATTATCCTTTCAATAAAATAGCTAATTTACACTTAATATATGTATACTACATGTAAAAATGTACTGTATACTACAGTACATTTTTTTTTCAATTTTTCAAGTACAAAATGTATGTACATAGTATATATATAAAATGATAAATGACAATGATAAAAAATCATTGTCTTATACTATACGACGTATTATAATCAATATTAATCTAAAAAAATGCCTCAAATCACTACGCTGGTTCTCAACTACACAAAAAAAAAGTTTTCTCTACTAATACTAATATTACTTTAAATTTAATTATGATAGTATAATATGTTCAAAAATCAGTAAAAGACAGTTTTAATGGAATATTTTTTTTAGTAGGTATCAAAACAGAATAATACTTTTATTTAAAATTGTTTTCATACGGTTCGTAATTATTATTGCAATAGTCTGAATATGTCACGTCGTATTTTATTGAATAATTGCCTTATTTTTGTGGGATATTTTCAAACCGAAAAGTTTTCAAAAACGCCGCAGTATTGACTCACAGACTAAATTTGTATCGCTAAAAATACTTATCGAGTTAAATTTAAATTTGGAATCGATAACACACGTAGACAAAAATTTTTGACACAAATTCGATGAATTTGTTAGTATAAAAGACAAACTGACGATCGTTAGAATCAAATTGTGTTCATTACGAACCATTGGAAGTTATCGGTAAATTCAAACATACTTGAACTCTCAAAAATAGTATCGACATTTGAATAAAATGGCTCATTTTAAAAGCGCAGTTGTATTGTGTTCAGTGTTCTTCATTGCCGGCGCTCTGGTAAGTGATTCTTTCTGTCGACATTGCAAATGAGATGAAATTACTTATTATATTTGCAGGGTGGAATTTTAAAAGAAAAACAGGATGAGGTACCTTGTATCAGTAAACATTGCTTAAAAATGTAATTATTAATATTTATTTTGCTATTCAGTACCATGCTGTTCTGCAAGTATTAAATAATAATGACAAAAATAAAGATGGCCTATTTAACTTTAATGAAATGACAAATGCATGTATTGCATTGAAGAGAAAAAATTTAATCGATTCACGCATGGAACGAATTATCTTACAAAATTATTGTGATTATTCTGAACCTAAGGCGAATTGTGTAAAAACGCTTTTAACCTATGAAGTGTTGCATATACTTGGAGTACACTAGGCGCAATGAATTTTGATCGATGACTCTGAAGTAATAACATATGACGTCTTACTGTTGTACATATTAATTATTGTCAGTAATTAATAAATTACATTAATTAGTTAAGGCTGACTTTATTTTACTCAATGGTTTTACTTGCATAACCGTCCTATTAATTATTTATGTTATTTTTTCTTTTCAGGCGATCGTTTAATTTTCGAAGGCATTCTATACGAAATACTTTTTACTTATATAACTAAATCAGATGTTTTATTTTTTCGTACCTATTGAAATATATAACACTTTTTTGAATGCATATATATATTTGAGTTTTATTTTTTTTACAAAAACCAATGGCACTCCTAGAGTGTGATTCCCTGTTAGTAAAAAATCTTTGCTGCTCTATCTTCTTAACCAGGCCATTCTAATAGAGAAAAGTAAAACGTAAAAATGATAATAACTTCTAAAGTACTATTTCAAAAGTCGTTATTGACCGATTGATTATTTTATTATCTTATAAAAATATAAGTATTTATTTATTATATTATAATTATAAATCATAAATCTTGTAATCAAGGCATAATTAAGGAAACACGTGTTGATGTTGCTTTTGGATTTATTGAACAGATCATTTTAAAAATTAAATACTATAAATTTATTATTCACATATTATAAATACCACTCTGAATATTCATCAACAGTCTCGACATCCAAATAAAAATTAAGACAGGTAATGAACATTCATCTGGTTTACGTGATATAATTAAGTTGTAAATGCAAACAATATCTATCATACGACGATATTTAAATCTACTCCTCAACTTTTGACTGCTACCTGTTGTAGTAATACAAAAATAAGCAAAAACGGTTGGGGGTATTTATTTGACCAAAGTCGGATGTTAGGGATTTGGTCAATTCAGGAGCAACGAAGTTATATCGGGGTAGTAGAGTCCGAGGCTTTAGAACAATAAAGACAAGTAGATATAAAAAGATGCAAATTAAGTTCCTCTCATAGAGGTATTAAAACGCTGAGGTATTCTTGTAGTGGCCGGAGTCTTGGCCTCCTATCTGACACCAAGTCGAAGCGTGATGTTAACTGGTATGTGCTTTAGTGGAAATACTGAGGCGTTCATGGAGTGGCGGAGGCCTCCTCTCAGACACCCAGTCGAAGTATATGACCAAGCACTAACTAGTTATTAATAATTGAATTAAATGATGTTTAAAAAATCTATTGCTTTACCATTCTTTACTCATATTATTATTTCTAAATAATTGGGTTAATATAAATTTACTTACTTCTTTTATATATCTCACGTTCAGATTTATACTTTTCCTTATTAATAAATAAATAACGTATTGACGCAAAAATAATTGTACTTGAAATCGCTATGAAATATACCGACGACAACACGGGGTCGCGGCTAGTTTGTTCAAAATAAATCAAATAGAAGAATCCTGAATTCCTTATTGAATTCAAATCTTCAAAAAGAAGAGAGAATTCCGAGTCTCTTAGAAAATCAGTGCCTTTTTATATTACTTTTAATTACCCCTATCATGGGTTGTTGCCGTTAGCGCTTTTAGTGATTTTAAGTTTATTGTGTAAAATTTGAACATAACATGATAATTATTTTTAAGATAAGATGCATAGTGTACAATAATCAATTTAACATGTATATACATTTATAATAGCTAGTGTACAAATGTGTATATGTTATGATAGATAAATTAATTATTTGTGTGGTATACAATTGGTATTATATATAGAGTAATAATTTTTTATTGATAATGTAAGATGCGTAATGCAGAACATTATGCATATTACGACACTGTATATAAGTCAAGTCCTTCTGTACAATAAAAATAATCTATGTTAACATAATTTTCAACATTTATAAAGTAAATTAGTTTGGTAAAAGTAATTAATTTAGTTAAAAAATGAATTTAGTAAAACTATTAACTATTAAGCTAAGTGTTTCTGTACAATAAAAATAATCTATGTAAAAATAATTTTCAATATTTATAAAGTAAATTAGTGTCGTCTATTAACTATTAGTTTTAATTTTATTATCAAAAGTATTACTAATAATTTTTTTACCTTCAACCCAACTTTTATACCCATAATCAGACTTTACGGTGAATAGTTTTTCATACAATTCTCGTGAAATCAGATCGACCGATGTGCGTTCAATTAAATTGTTAGTAATTGCCTCATATTTTTCATACTCTGCATTATTAACGAAATATTCGACCACTACATCGGCCCAAATGTTGATATATTGTCTGGTATGGACTGACATCTCTTAATAATGTTCTATGTCGATAACATTTATTGATTTCACAATCACAATATTTAAAATTGAAATCTCAGTAACAGGTAGTATAACAATATTTTCTTAATAGTCACATTATTTATGAATTATTAATATACCAAATTCTTAACATAAACACTTTATAAAAATGTAAATTCCCATATGTGATTTTCATGTATGAAAATACTTTGTCTTATATTACAAGGCATATGCAATAGTATCAACTGAAAAGAAGTGGAGATCTCAACTTCTATAAGTGAATAATTATACGAATAAACAGATGATTATAGAGATATTAAAGTGAAAATACTCAAGTGGTATAGGAAAGTGTCTATTATTTGAAAATACATGTCCTGTGATCATTTATTTAGTTCTTATATTTGACGTAGTACGTAATCCATATATATTTATTAGTCTATCTCTATCGATCATGATCGGGTTAGATCGAATCGATCAACAGAGATAAATATCCTGAAGTACCTATTTAATATTTATATATGAAATATGGCACCCATTAAAAGAAGTATGGAAAACTGAAAGGATTCCACCGGAATGGAACCTATCGATAATATGCCCCATATATAAAAAAGGGGACCCCGTGGACGTAAAGAATTATAGGGGAATATCCTTACAAAACACCGTATATAAGATTCTATCGAACACTCTACTAAACCGAATAAGATCATACGCAAATAACATCATAGGAGAATATCAGAGTGGATTCATGTCAGGCAGATCAACATTAGACCATATTTTCACGCTTAAACAAGTTATAGAAAAATACTATGAGTTCAACAGACCTTTACATTTAATCTTTATAGATTTTAAACAAGCATATGACTCCGTACAAAGAGCAGAAAAATGAAAATCAAAACTAATATCGTTAATAAGTGTGAGTACGGAAGGTTCTAGATGCGTAGTCAAATTTGATCACGAGAAATCAGAAGAATTCCAAACAACAACAGGATTAAAACAAGGTGATGCGCTGTCACCAATACTATTTAACATAGTACTAGAGATGGCAGTAAGGGAAGTACAAGAAGAATATCAAGGAATGAATTGCGGTCGAAACCTTCCATTACTAGCATATGCCGATGACGTGGTAATATTAGGCTAAAGTGAGCAGGATATTCAAAAATCAACGGAATTACTGATACAAAGTGCTAAAAAACGGGGAATCAACATGAACGAGACTAAAACAAAATACATGCGAATAGGTAGGAACAAAGATCAGATGCAANATCAACATGAACGAGACTAAAACAAAATACATGCGAATAGGTAGGAACAAAGATCAGGTGCAAAATGCAGCTGGATTACAGGTAGGAGTATATATGTGTGAGGAGGTAGATAATTTAAAATATTTAGGCACTAACTTAAGTAGCACAAACGACAACCACGAAGAAATAAAAAAACGCATGGCATCAGGAAACAAATGT